TCCGCCCACCCCCCCTCCAAATGTGCTGGGTGGCCACTGCCAAATGGACCCGGGTGGGAGCCCGGAATGAAAAATTCATAACTGCTGGACTTCGCTTGTTCATTAGACGTGAACTTGTCGATTGGGCAAATTGTTTTTGGTCTCCAACTGCCGGGGGCTCTCCCCACCCTCCCGGCTCGCTCGGTTCCCTCCTCCCCTTGGACGCAGCCATTGGCTGCTCCAGGGTGTCTCATTGCCAAATAGGTGGATCCTTCTCTCTCTCTCTCCCTCTCTTCCTCTCTCTCTCTCCTCTCTCTCTCTCTCTCTCTCTCTTCCTCCTCCCCCCCTTTTACTGGCTTTGGCAGGAGCAAATGGATGGGGATTGAGCATGAAAGGGGAGAGAGAGGGAGTTTGAGAGAGAAAGAGAAAGGAAGCAAAAAAAAAAAAAAATCCAAAACCCAACCAACACACACACACACACACACACACACACACACACACACACACGGCCCCATCCCATTTCCATCTCCCTCGCTCTCTCCCTCGTTCTCTCTCTTCTTCCCTCCCTCCCTCGCTCCCTCTCTCTTTGGCATCCGTCTGCCAGCCACGGTCTGCAGCCGGTCCGAACTCGTCCCCTTCCCCGGGATCTGCAGCTCCCCCTTCGCCTGCGATCAGGCTCAGAGGCGGAGGGAAGCAGCTCCAAGTTTACACCCTGAGCGGCTGCCAAAGCCGAAAGCCTTTTTCTTCAGCTGCTGCTTTTCCCTCTCCTGGTTTTTGTTTTTGTTTTGTTTTGCAGGGGGGTGGGGTAGGGTGTGACTGGAGAGAACAGTGGCCTCCTGGGTCGGGCACCCTGGGAAGTACTGCCCACTTTTTAAAATTTGCATCTTTCTCTCTCTTTTACAAAACTGGAATGGGATGCACAAGGGGTGAAATTGAAAAAAAGAATTTTTTTTTGTTGGCTTTTGTTTACCTGCTGTGTGTGGCAACCGGCTTGCTCCCTCTCTCTGCTTGCTATCCCTGACCTTTCTTTCTTTTTGCTCCTTTTCAAAAAAAATATTAATTTTCCCCTTCTGTGCAATGGAGCGTGGGGGGGGGGAGGGGGAAGGGTTTGAGAATCCACCCAAGCCCGGCCCCTATTCCCCAGAACACCAATAATAACCCCCTTTAAAACATTTACCTTCCTCCCCTGCTCCTCCTCCTCCCCCCTCCCCCCACCCGCCCCCAACT